AGATATCATAGCTCTACCATCACATTATATTTATTCAGGAAAAGAATGAGAAATTAGTAGCTATTGTCTCACATGTAGGAAGGAGAATGGAGAACATTCTATACTGACACAAAGTATCAGCCCACGAGAAGGGAAGACTATTCTTGTTAGTGAAAGAACTTCCAGATTACTGATTATTCTAGATATTCATCTCTGGGTGCTCATGACAAACTGTGTTTGGTGAAGCTACCATATACAGGGAGGTTGTCCTCTGGTCCCCTTGGATGTGGGCACCATGACTGGAAGGGCCTGGCTCACCTTCTGTGGCCCAGCTTCTCCAGGGCTTGCTTGAGAGTGGGCGGACATGTAGACAGCCTGGCTATCCCAGGAAATGAGAGTGATTCTTTTTGCAAGTTTTAGTAGCCAGGGTGTGGCCTAACATGAAGAATGATTTCATGTATAATTGTATAACATCGTGATAAGTGTTTTTAAACAACAAAAAAATACCTCAGAGATAGACTTGCCAAGCTCGAAAGCAATCCAGATGGGTTTTCTGACCTCTTTCTGCACCAGCATTTTCTTTATGTTCTTAGGAAATAGCTGCAGAGGGTTTTAGAGCCATTCAGATTTCAATCTTGGGACTCAGAAAATTTCTGTATTGTGCCTTAAAGAGTGACGTGTGCCACTATTAAACTTGAACTGCTCTGGACAGCTGCGCAGAAGGAAAAGAACTACCGTGCTCAAAACATTTTCATTTTGTTGTGTACATTCCTTACGGTGCAGCTGGTTTAAATTCTCTCTGAAAAGATGGTGTGCAGCTGTTTCTCTGAGGCAGAGCCTGAAGGCAAATACCCATCACCCCAAATACCCATCGCCCCAGCACGTCCTTTCCTATCTTGGCAAGTCGTTTTGTCCTTAACTCTGTTGTGTGTAATCATGAAACATCGCTATTTATCTGAATCTTCTTTAGGATACAATACATGAGCTCATTCTCAGAAGTTCCAGGAACACAGCACTCCATTATAAAAGATTTTCTATGTCTCCCACCCCTTCTCATTTTCGCAGTTTCCATGGCAACGTTTGGCTCTGATGGCACCTCCAGGATTATTACTATCATCACAGTTATTTCTTCTGATTACTATTGTTGCTTATTGTCATCAACATCATTTTGACTGTCGGTTAGTCGGATCCTGATCCTAAACACCTGGCCTCTGGGGAACGTTTCCTCAAAACAGTTGAAAAGTTAAAAAAAAAAAAAAAAAGGAATGCAAATCCCTAGAGATTACCAGTGGTGCAATTATCCTACATCAGGTTTATGTTTCTCTTTAAAAAATTTCCCCATCAAGTCATTGTAATCCTTCCAGAATATACATAGATAAGTTTGTCATGATACCAAAATAGACATGGTTATCGATACTGCTGTTTTGTTTTTAGAGAAGGAAACTGTGTGTACATTTTTGTGTGTGTGTTGGTGGGTTGAGAGGGGAATTATGAATCTAAAGCTTTCTAATATTGCTAAAGGAATTTTTCATGAAATGTTGGAAACTGGTTGTTTAGAGATGAACAAAATAGTTTGAGGTTTGAGACTATTATCCACTGATTTTTCCATACCTGCTGTCGACCCTGTGAGCCTCCTTGAGGCTTAGGGGGGAATAAACTTCCTTTGTAAGAATTACTGCCTTATGAATTAGTGTAACACTGGGATGCCCTATGCTTTTGAGATAGTCTTAGACTTGGCTCAAAACACTACCTCCGAGGCCATGAGAATCCAGAAGCCTCATTTTAATTTCTGCAAGTTTCTACAGCTGTCTTTTTGTGTGTCCTTCTGTCCCCGGGGTCCTGTGTGGATGCTGGCTGCTCTGCTCGGTTTAGAGAAGCCCTAAATGCAGAGTTTGGCCTCTTTAGCTATGTTTAGAAGAAACTCTTACATCAAGCTAGCCTGTCCTTTCACAATTCCTCTCCCTCCATTTCTTTTCCTTCACTTCCTTCTTCCTTTCTCCCTCCTCCATTCCCACCTTCCTTTCACTGTTTCAGGAAACCTTGAGGACTTGGTGGGTCACTGGGAGGAGTCATATCATAGGGCACATTCTTTGCCCCTCTGTCTGCTAGCTTCACCCTTTCACTCCCATTCTTCCCTTTCTTCCTGGCACATTGAAGAATTTCTCCTTTTTGTCTTATTTAGGGCAGCCATCTCTGAAAGGAGTTCTAGTTTCTCCACTTGGTTTTAATCTGCGTGTAGATATATTTGCTGCACCTGCAAATCAATTCCACAGACTCTTTCTCAAAGGGGAGAAGGACAAAACCAAATGTTAATTTATGTTTTGGTGGCAACAGAGCTTGCTCTAACCGAATGCTCCAAGCCCTGCCTTACTGCCTCCTGGTCGCTGAACACAATCTCAAATGCTTCTACGAAGCTGGCATGTGACATACATGAGTCAAGGGAATCTGGTGGAAGAGGCAGTGTGGCGTGAGGGACAGAGTATATATCCAGAGTCACAGTTCACTCAAAGGGACCACAAGCAACTGGGCTCCAGCTGATGGCTGCCAGTGAGGATGGAGGTCCAGTGTGGCCTCATAATCCAATTTTTAAGAATTTAGAGGTCTAATTTTTATACAAAAATTTCCCAAACTGTGAACCCTGGCAGCTGGTTTTTTAAAAAATTGTGCAAGACAATATTGTGTTGGTTACCAAACTACGCAGGAGAGACACACCTAAACCACACGGGAGAGACACACCTAAACTACGTGGGGGAGGCACACCCAAACCATGCGGGAGAGATACACCTAAACCACGCAGGAGAGAAACGCTTAAACCACACGGGGTAGACCCACCACGTCGGGGAGACAGACCTAAACCACGCGGGAGAGACAGACCTAAACCATGTGGAAGAGACACGCTTAAACCACACAGGGTAGGCACACCATGTGGGAGAGACAGACCTGAACCACGTGGGAAAGACACACCTAAACCACGTGGGAGAGACAGACCTGAACCATGTGGGAGAGACAGACCTAAACCATGTGGGAGAGACATGCCTAAACCACACGGGGTAGACACATCACGTGGGGGAGACAGACCTAAACCACATGGGAGAGACACGCCTAAACCACACAGGAGAGAAACGTTTAAACCACATGGGGTAGACACACCACGTGGGAGAGACACACCTAAACTACGTGGGGGAGGCACACCCAAACCATGCGGGAGAGACACACCTAAACCACGCAGGAGAGAAACGCTTAAACCACACGGGGTAGACCCACCACATCGGGGAGACAGACCTGAACCACGTGGGAGAGACAGACCTAAACCATGTAGAAGAGACACGCCTAAACCACACAGGGTAGGCACACCATGTGGGGCAGACAGACCTGAACCCCGTGGGAGAGACATGCCTAAACCACGCAGGAGAGACACGCCTAAACCACGCGGGAGACACACGCCTAAACCACGCGGCAGAGACACGCCTAAACCACGCGAGAGAGACACGCCTAAACCACGCGGGAGAGACAGACCTAAATCACATGGGAGACACATGTAGACCACGTGGGAGAGACAGACCTAGCCTGCTGCTTTGGGGTTGCCTCTTCTGCCTAGGAGGACCTTGGGCAGGAAGTTTCCTGTTTGGCTCCAGTCTTTTTTATTTTTTTTGAGATGGGGTTTCTCTCTGTCACCCAGGCTGGAGGACGGTGGCATGATCTCGGTTCACTGCAACCTCTGCCTCCCGGGTTCCAGTGATCCTCCTCCTCAGCCTTCCGAGCAGCTAGGATTACAGGCGTGCTACCACACCCAGCTAATTTTTTTTTTTTAATAGAGACAGGATTTCACCATGTTCGCCAGGCTGGTCTTGAACTCCTGACCTCAGGTGATCCGCCTGTCTCTGCCTCCCAAAGTGCTGGGATTATAGGCGTGAGCCATCACGCCCGGCCTGGTTCCAGCCTTTCTCCTCCCCTCTGTGATGAGGTCCTGGCTGATGCCCAGCCAGGTTGGAGTGTCCTCTACATTAGGAGAAGCTTCAAGGGATCATGGGGCTTGAGGCCTAGTCAGCTGCTTGATTCTAACTCAGCAGCAGTGAAGTTTGTAGCTGAATCAAATGCAAGTATCACTCCCAGCCTAGATTTTCAGTCACATTTCCTCCTGCCCCAGGGCCAGGATCCATCTCTTACCATCTTTGTCTTTCAGTTGCTAGAAAGATTGCCTTAATCCCTCTATGTCTTCGTGCTTATTTTCCTTTTCTCTTTCTCTTGGTGACAAGTTAGTTCAACTCTCTCTGTGTGTGTGTGTGTGTGTGTGTGTGTGTTTCTTTTTTTGAAGCTTGGATAATTTAATAAATTAAAATTGGGAGTGGAGGATAGGGAAGAAGGAAAAAGAGGAGCATCTCTTTAGCATTTATTCATTCTAACATTCACATGTTTGCTTCTGCATGGAGTTGTTTGACTATGAACAGGTTCACTAAGGAGCCAATTATGTCCATATGAAATGAGAATAAAAGTGCAAACTCATTCAGATCAGGTTCTTCTGAGGAGTGGGCTTTTGAAAAAAATATGTAAAATAAAAATAGAAACACTCTTTGTCAAATACTTAAATTGCAGCCACAGTAGTGGGACAGCCGCTACTTAGAGAATGCATGTCTAGTTAAACCCTTTTCTTGGGCCAAAGACTGACACCTATGCAATTGACCTAGGAAAAGAAAGGATAAATGAAGAAAGAGAAAGAACACTTCATGTTAGACAATTCAGTCACCTCCATCAGTTCTGACAGAATTAGGGACTCGGAATTGCTCCTGCTGAGGCAGTGGGAGCCCCTCTCAAGCTGAAAGCATGAGGTGAGGAGGCAGTTGCCTCCAGGCCCTCAGGGACAGCTCTTTGTCTTTCTCCAAATCAAGCATACAACTACGAAGTCCTGCTGCTCCACTTCCAAGTCAAACTTGGTAATTCTTAACTCAAACAAATCTTGAGGAACAGAGTATTCGCTAATGAGGCTCGTCCCTTCGGTACCAGTAACTAAAAGCCAAGATGTTGTAATTAATTCTTTTATTATTTTCCAACCATCCAACAGTCCTCATTTAGGGCTTTCTTCCCTTTTTATGCAACAACTGTCCTCCAGAGAAAGTGATGAATCTGCCTCCAGCTTCATCCTCTTCAACCTTTTTGACAAGGAGACGTGCATTTCTGATGAAAGTTATCTTACCAAGTTTAAATTCATAATTGGGAATTCCTCTTTTAATATCTCCAGGCTTGACTGGGGAAGGACTGGGCTCCACCCCTTTCTTCTTTCCATCCAGTCTATTGGCAGAGCCGGAGAAGGCGCGGAAGCCCAGCTCTCCAGCATAGCTACTGTGATCGGCTTCACCTTCTGTCGACTTCTCATGCTGGACTTGTCTTTCGGGTTCTTTGTAGCCCAGGGGAGCATCAAAGTCCATGTTCATGTCACGCTCAGTGATGGACACTGCCTTGTCAGGTTTGGTTTCCATCACACACAGTTCGAGTTTGTAGATCTTTTCATTATAGTTGATGGCAATCACATCCCCAGTGGTCAGACGGGAAAAGTTCCTAACTGTGTTTTCTAATATGGCTTTGGGGTTGGTGATGTCCGGGACGTCATGGCTCTGAGGCTGGAATTTGCAGTAGGTGGCCACTTGAAGGTTGACACTCTCCACCTGGACCAGGCTGCCTTCTTCCAAGAGCAAGTTCTGCATCATCCAGTGTGAGAGGTAGCAGATCATCAGTCACAAACTCCAGCATGCCACAGTGTGTCATGCGGTCCGAATTCTTACTGGTCAGTTTGAACAGCATGGGATAGGTAATGTTAAGTTGGCTGAGTTGGTCCAGGGCTGAGGGCATCATAATTATCTTCCCTCCCTTCTCCACATCTGACCTGTCATTAGGCCCTGCTAGCATGGACACAGGGAAGCAGCGGTACTGTGTGGAGAAGCGGTTTTGGAAGACCCTGTGAATTGGGTGATTGAACATGTTGAAAGAGAACATGATGGACACCACCTTGAGATGCCTTTTCTCTCAGACAATGCAACGAAGGCACCCCGCTGACCTCTCTCCTCACGGCCACCGCCACCACCAGCGCCCCAGTGTGTTGTTTTTAACCTTGACTTCTAAAAGATCAGAATGCAGATCTCCTTAAGCATAAAATTCATCAAAAAATGTCATATATATATATATGTGTGTGTGTATATATATATAGAGAGAGAGAGAGAGAGAGAGAGCAGAGTCTTGCTATGCCACCCAGGTTGGAATGCAGTGGTGGGAATATGTCTTACTGCAGCCTCGAACTCCTG